AATAAAACAGGATTGCTAAATCTCACTTGACTGATACTTAACGAAATCTGAGTCGATGCTATATTCGTTAGATCTTACATGGAGATCCGTGTAAATTTTTTCTTTCTTCTTTTCTGTATGTTCTGTCACTTGACTGAGGCTACGTTAAGTCTCAGTCGACTGAGATCTAGTCACAATGGTGTGTATGTGCACTAAATATCAGGGTCAATTGATTGATATACTTATAATTATTGAGTGTATAGTGGATGAGAAGATAATCTCTGGTCTAGTTCTCTCCCCATCATCGGGAGAAATGACAAAAAAAATATGATACACACAATAAATTATCCATCATTGTAGAATACTTTTCTACTGTGGAAAATACAATATTGTGTCTCAAAAATCTCATCTTAAGTATAATTAATTGGAAATCATGAGACTGAAGGTTTAAGGCTATGTTCAGAATGTAGTGGATTATGATGATCCTGTTTGCAAAACAAGTTCCTATTTTAGTTCTTGTTTGCCCCTTTAGCATTTTTTTTGTCTCCCATGAGACCCGCCTTTGCACACTTTGCGCTCCGCTTCAATTAAACCATGCTACTTCTACGTGTCCAAATACCCGCGATCTAGCTAATTCCTTTTTAAGCCCTGAGCACGTTTCTCACAGTCCAAGTGTTGTCTTTGGTGGTGGTGGATGTTGACGGTTGGAGCTACATGCTTAAGTTTGCTTGGACATGACTTTCGGAGGTTCTGTTTTTTTAATGTTTTCTTTTGTGTGTGTGCACGCGTGGGGCCACACGCTTGCGTTGGAGTTGATTTTAGCATGCATCCTAACCACGCAGAAGCCGGGTGTGTACTCATGGTGCTTGTATTAACTTAAATATGCTATTTATCGGAATTGTAAAATTAGCACCGCGCAACACAATTCAGAAACTACAAATTGAGCATAAGAGAAGATATCTCTTGTAGTGATCTTTTCCAAGGAAATGACAATTTCTCTCTATCTATTTTTATCTCTCCCATGCCATCTATTATCATACATGGGTTCCGCTAAGAAAATGTTGACATCAGACATTTGCATATACGCACGATTATCTTAACACTATACTCCCTACCTTTCCAGATTTCGGCAAGGCTTACGTTCACGCTTTACAAAGTAGAATTCACTGGATCTACTTTTCTTTTTTTTCCTTTATCTGTCCTTTCCTTCGCTATGATAATGGCGTTGTCGCCTTCCTACGCGCGTCGCCACCCACCACTTGCTAGTGGTGCCGATGAGACCCTGCCCTCATCCACATATATCGTGATAATCTCATTTTCCTCTTCTTAGCCATGTTTGCACTTCTCCGACGTTGTTGTCTCTAGCTAGCAGTGATGCTTCAGGAACCAACTTAAAATAAGGAGAGAGGAGAGGAGAATCTAGTTCATGAAAATTCATGAAGGGCATTTGGTGCTCGGTGTATTTCAGCAGTCATGATGATCATGAATCACCGAAGTAGGAAAATGATGACATTAATCAAGAAGAGATCCAATTGTAATTGTACTCAATAGGGAGATAATGAACCGGCATGTCAAATATGAATATTAAATCTGATGTATACATATGAACTTGATTTACAAGCGAATTTAGTCTCCACTTAGAGTCGCTACTTGAAGATACCATTAATATTTCCCTAGTGGTTGGCCCATAGTATTTTTGAGCTCCCCATTAGAAGCATTTTCTAGTAATTCCACTAGTGTTTTGAAGTTGCAAAGCATACTTACTCCTTCCTTCCATCTACTAGTAAATGCGCACGTGCAACGCACGTTAATATTTAGGCAATATATTAATTGCACATGGATATATTAGGTATGATATTATTTGCGTGTTAATTTTATGATTAGTGCAATATTTGGTATGATATTAATTGCATGTTAAACATGTTGAACGCTCGCCATTGGAGTAGTTTAGGTCATTGGATTGATTTAGTTTGATGGCCGAGATCAGTTGGATCTGCCCTTTTGGATCTTTTTATATTGGTATAGATATAGGGCCTAATGCGTTCTTCAAGACCGTCTTTGACTATTGATAAGATTAATAACACATAAGATGTATAATGTGAAAATTATATCGTTGGAAGCTCCTTTTACGTACGAATTTGACAGTATGCTTTGTGTAACTTGCATGTCATATATTATTGCTCTAACCCTTGGTCCAAGTTAGCCTCGAAAAACGCATTAGGCCCTATATAGATGAAAGGAGGGAGTAGCATATTCAAATGGAGTTTTCGACCATTAGGTACAGTATAGTCTTTTTCAGCATGCGCACAAGGAATTGTCAAACACACTTATCTGGAACTAGACTAAAATTTAGTGGGAAATAAAGAATTTTCTTCTAATATATTGTTTCCTTTGCAACTAGAGAGTTTAATATTGCATGTACCTCATAGTTTTTCTAGTCTCGTAGTTACATAAAAAAAAGTACAGCCATGGCACATAATTTTGAAAAGCACCTCAAATTGTCAATAAATTGAGAACTCCACAATTTTTTTTTCTGTCGACGATATGTTGTTTTAAAATACTAGGTTTTATCTATTGATGGTGACAACAATATTTCTTTTACAAGCTTTGGTAGCATGTACCTGCTCCGATTCAATGGCTAAAAATGTCAATGTTGCACCTTTTATTTTATTTCTAAATTTTCTTTTTACAAGAATATTATTTGCTATTTTTCTCGCAAAAATAATAATTGCTAGAATTATATATAAGCCAAATTCTTTATGAAAATAGTCAAGTTCTAATTAGGAGAAACATAAGAAAAAAAGATCATTGGAAATGTAGGACTTGTATTCTGGTTGCAAAGGCTATAAGAACTTGCATTGTGCACTGGAGGGTGTATGTACAATAGATGATCTGGGAGAGATATGCTTGTTGTGTTCAATGACGAGACAAATATCGTACCACCACTTACTACTCCCTCTGTTCCAAAATACTTGAAATTCTCAGTTTGTCCTAACTCGGACATTTTTAGGTTTGACTAAGCCGATTGTAACATACAAACATCTACAATACCAAATTAGTTCCGTTAGATTCATCATAAAATATATTTTCATACTATATATGTTATATATATATATTGTAGATGTTAATATATTTTCTATATACATGGTCACACCTGAAGTTAAAGAAGTTTGGTTTAGGAAAACCATAGAACTTCAAGTATTTTGGAACGGATCCGGAGGAGTACAACAAAAATCAAGTAGCTACCAATCTACGATGGTGGAGAATATATAAAATTGAGTTAAGCTAGAGTGGAGCAGACAGTTCAAAAGTGCACCAAAGATGAAACCTGCATGCAGTTTCAGCAGGGTATGCGCGCGTACACTTTCATGTGGCAGTCAATGGTTGGCTTCAAACATCTAGACATGTAAAAGTTGCTTCCTCGAAACCGAGGAAGCTGGCTAAAGTTAAAGACGGCAAAAGAAACGTAAGAAACAGATTCTTTGAGCACAACTAAGGAGATTGCTAGCTAGCCACCCCTCCCCTCTGCTGCACCATATCACTGGCCCCTAGCTAGCTTCACTCATGTCTCTCTCTGCCTGCACTGTGGGGACATGCCATGATTACATTGGCAGGAGAAAGGCCTTGAATGGAGATTAGTGCTTGGAAACCTAGGAACCTACACCATTTTGAGAGCAGATCAGGACCATGCATGCATGCATGCATGCATGCATGAAGAGGTGTGGGTCACTATTACTAGTACTAGTAGTAGTATTACACTACTACAGTTCTACTACTGATCATGATCACTTGCACTATTGCTGCTTATATATCAGAATAATGTGTATGTGGGTGTGATGCTTTCCCTCAAAAGAGGAGAAATGGAACCAGCTAGAACTTCCAAGGATTTACACTTGCTTCACTCTTTTGCCCTAATTAGCAAAAATATAGATGAAAGTATTTGCATTTGCAATCATTGTGTGCCTATTGAGCTAGGAATGCTGCCACTCTAGTAGCTTTCAGAAGTTACTTTGCATGCTTCCCCTCCACATCAACCTAGGTGGCTAATGTCTTGTATTCAGTGCTTGCAATTTGTATATAATGTTTTATCCATGAAAATATACACATGTCTACATGCAACTATACAAGAAGATGGTTAACAGAGGATATCTTCGTTACAAGCCTACTAATTAATCTGTTTTAGCAATAGGGTGCCTGTCTATGCAACTACACATGCTCTTATAAGAAAATTCGAGTACCATGAGCAAGACTAGATTTGATAAATGGGCACATATAAACTAAATTTCTAGGGAATAATTGCAAATTACTAGATGATAGCAATGACAATCAACCTAATTATATCATTCACAAATGGTAAGTTAAATTCATTATATTGGATATTTTTTATTGAATGATAAATGAAACCTCATGATATAAACATCTATTGAAATTGCAAGCATGCATGCATTATGGACTAAAAAAATTTCATACATATATATACACAAAGCACATAAAAAATAAGCGAGTAGAAACATTCCAAGCTACTCATACATGGAGTATGAAGATTGCACCAATATACTGAAACCAACTCAATATTCTAGCTCATAGATATATTTATATAAGTATATAACCTTCCACCATGAACACATTAATTGCACCAAGCTAGTAAACTTGGTACCAATTAACGTGCATTACAATGACATTGGAGAATTAAGGAGACCCAAGAATATAGAAAATCCAGCACCTTAAACAATAGGAGTACCAAGAAAGAACCTAATTAAGACGGTAGAAGAACAGCATGCATGGAGATATAGCTAGGACTCACTCGAGAGTAGAATAAAACTAATTTCGATCGACCGGCAATGATCTTGTATGCGCCACCACAACTCCATTGTTTCTTTTCTTTTTCTCGATCGATCGGAAGCCATGGCTAAAATTAAGCTTCAATTCGGAGCTTGTATATATAGGGCTACCTTTTGCAGAGAGGTCGACTCCATTCCACCATGCATGCATGCGCGGCCGTGGCGCGGCCGGTCTCACAGTCACAGGATGTTGCCCGATGATGACGAGTTGAACCCGGGGAGCTGATCCACCCAGCCGCCTCCTCCGCCGGCACCGCCTGGAGCCACGGTGCCGCTGCTGTGACTTCCTCCATTGTCGTTGCCGCCTGCGCCATTGTTGCCGCCGCCCCAGAATTGGATGTTGCCGGGGAGGCCGAGGAACTCCCTGGCTGAGGCGGCGCCCGCCATAGCGTTGTTGGACGGCGGGTTGTCCTCCATCTTCACCGACGCGAGCTGCGTGATCAGCCCTGCCGATCCGGGCACCAGCTGCTTGGATCCGCCGACGCCGCCCATCATCTCTCCGGCGAAGCCGGACGCGTCAGTGGCGTCGAACGGGTATAGGCCAGCCATTTGCTGCTGCTGTTGATGCATGCCGTCGGCGCGGCCCAAGAAGGGGAACTGCTGCATCTGCGGCAGCCGCCACTGTTCGGACAGCCCCATGGCGGCGGCCGCGGCACCGCCTCCACCGAGCTGGTAGTCCACCGGATCCAGCGAGTTGATCAGCCCCGGAAACCCTAGCCTCGACGCGCCGGTGCCGTAGTGATCCCCGCTGCCGGCGCCCAACGGGTGCAGCGAGCCAAAGAATGGCATCTGCGCGTGCCCCTGGCCCTGAGAAGACATCATGGCCCCGGCCGCCGCGGCCGCGCTGCTGCCGTTGCGGTTGCCGTTGCCGTTGCCGTTGCCGTTGGCACCCCCAGCCGTGGTCGTGGACGATGTTGTGGACGACGACGTCCCGCCACCGGAAGCGGACGCGGCGGAGGACGAGGACTTGGAGGACTTGGTGCGCTTGTTGCGGCGGCAGCCGCCCCCGACGGGGACGTTGCGGAGCGTGCCGCCGCGGGTCCAGTAGCGTCGGCAGGTCTTGCAGAAGTGACGGGGCTGCGTGAGGGAGTAGTTGTTGAAGTAGCAGAACTTGGTGTTGGTGGACTCGCAGCGCGGGCACTTGAGCCCCGGCTCCGGCTGCGGGATCTTGGCCATCCGCGCCCGGTCCGTCATCGACCCTGGCCGCACCACCGCGCCGCCCGTTGGACCTCCGCCGGCACCACCACCACCACCACCTGCGCCGCTCAGAGCAACCGCACTACCCATGCCGTCCGGCCTCGGAGCCATCAACGCCCCAGGCGGCGGCACGGGCGGCCGCAGCTGGTGCTGGTGCTGGTGCTGCTGCTGCTGCTGATACTGCTGCTGTTGCTGTTGCTGGTGGTGGTGGTGGTGCATGTCCACTCCGCCCCCGCCGCCCCCGCTTGCAAACATCTGGCCATGGTGGCTCAGTTGCTGCTGCTGCTGCTGCTGCTGCTGCTGGAGCTGGAAGCACCATGGTTTACAATCAAAACACACTCGAAAAGCAAGAGAATCAAAGCTGAGAAACTAATCACAATCACACAAAACTAGCAAAAGCATAGCAACTAAAAAGCCATAGGAGTGTGAATATTCAAGAAGGGGATTTAATTCGCAAAAGAGCGCAGAGGAATATCTCCTCTCCATTTCCCCAGCTGGTTTTTTGCTCTTTTTTCACAAAGAAGCCATCCATCTATCTATAAGAGAGAAAAGGCAATTCACCTGCTGCTGCTGCTGCTGCTGGTTGTGGTTCTGGTTCCAATTGGGTGGATCATGGTAGAGGGGAACCGAAGAAAAGACCATGGTGGTGGTGGTGGTGGTGGTGGTGTGGTATAGAATTTGGTTTCTTTTGATCTTTTTCCTACTTGGAGTGGCTGCTTCTTCCTTTTCGGTTTGTTTGTTCCTCCTTGCTTCTTTGCGGGAGAGGGCCGGGAGAGAGACGAGGGGTATATAGGTGCTTTAGGGAGGGGATCATGCAAGCAAGGGTGGATGGCGAGGGCTAAAGGTGGATCGATGGAGAATAACACCACCCACTAGCAGCTGGGCCAATAGATCTCTCTGCACACAAGAATGGAGCTCTCCTCTCCTCTCACAAGGAGCTGAGGGCTGGGGGAGGGGGAAGATGGAAGAAAGGGAAAGAGAGGGACAGGGGGGAATGAAAGCGAGAGGAATAAAAAGGAGGGCGGCAAGGGTGGTAGCTAGCCTTGTTCTTTCTTTATTTATATTTTGTCTTAGTGGTGGTGTCCTTGCATTATATATTTGGGATGTGAAACATATGGAGAGGCGATGGGGAAGGAAGCTTAGAGAGAAGAGAGAGGGTTCCTTAGCCTGCAAGGGAATGTGTGTGTGAGGTGGATGTATGGGTGTGGCTGGCCTAGCTTGGCTTAGTTAGTACCTTAGGTGGTCAGGTGGAGTGAGACGTGGTGATGAGAGAATGCATGGGTCGTTTCATGCATGAGGAAAGTTGGAAACCCTAGGAGCTGATGTGGACTGCATCATGGACGGTCACTGTATGTCTCTACTGTTTGGAAGGCTTGCATTTCTGGCAACTGGGGTTCATCAGCAACCAAACAAAACAGTGAATTGGAGCTGGCTGGCTGGAGGTTATCAAAATGAGCAACACTTGTGTCTTGGGGTGTTCCGGTGCATGTATGGCTGCAGGTGCAACTTTATGTCAATATTGATGAAAGGGATGAATCAGTAAAAGTTGGTCTTACTAGTCTTGGTCTCATCTTGGTCTTGCCAAGTAGTGGTGGTGAAGAATTCCCCTTCTCTCTCTCTCTCTCTCTCTCACTCTCTCTCTCTCTCTCTCTCTCTCTCTCCCAATTTCTCTCTACCTTACCAAAGTTAAACAAGTATGGTATAGGTAGGCAGTCTCATGCATATGAGTAGGTAACTTTAGGTACATAGGGATAAAGAGCAAAATAAACTATCTGTTACTAGCCTTAGTGCTTGTGCATAGAGACAGAGAGAGATGAGGTTGAATTATCTTTTATAATGCATGCATGGAATGGCGTATGCATGCATTGCATGGTGTAGATTATTAATTCCCCACCAAGGCCTTTCTAGGTCATGCATGTAGCTGGACATGTCTGCTGTCATGCAAATTTAGTAGTCCAATTTGCAAGTACTGCGAAGCTTCAGTGCTTTGGATGATGGGCTAGATCTATGTGAGCTACATGTACAGTAGCTGGCCTTTTCTCTCCATATGTATCTCCTTTCTGCAAATTGAGCAAACATGCTGGCCATTTGATTACTAATGGATCGCTCATAAAGCTTTACACACTCGAATTGTGCAAGATCTCAGCACATCGTGTTGTTCAACTATTCTATTCGTTCTGATCCTTCAAAAATTTAAAACCCAGCTGTCTTTTCCATGCAAATAAATTATTCGGTGCAATCTTTCGTCTCAAATATTCTCCTTTATCCCTGCATATTGTTTATCTAAAAATGTTGATCGTCGAGCAAGGGTTTGTGCCACTCGCTTACGTATGATTAATTATTCTCTCTAGTTGCTAGCTAGCTAGCTACCAGTGAGCTTAATTAAACATAAATTCCACTCTTGATGGTCTATGACTGATTAGTGAGATTAGACAAGAGATAACAAATTTGATTGACATGCTAGCTGCAGGATCCAACAAGTGTAGCCTTCCCATTTGCCGATGAGCTCGATCATTCACCCATTCATGGGGATCCGCAAGTAGTAACAAGGATTGATGCTTCAGATTAAGAAGAGTCGGACACAGTGAGTGCCAGATTGCAGCTAGACCGGAAAAGAATAGTACTCACCTAGTGCTGTTTTCTGCAACTGCAAGCGTATGAAACTCATATGCATCATGCGTCGATCCAGCGCTGACTAGTGAGTCGAGGTAGCATATATGCAGATTAATCGCATAGTGTTAGGTGATTGATCTTGGTATGTGTATGTATCCATCCGCACGCATGGAAAACTTGCATTAGAAGAACTAGTCATCAACCCGTGCGTCCGCACGGGCTAGTCTTTTGAACAATACATCAGTTAAACCCTTGTCTGTGGGAAAAAATTATATGAATGCTGGATATAAAAAATAATCTGATTTAGCAAATAGTGATTTCTAGCAAGAAATGCACATATGCAAAAAAACAAAGCGCTAACTTGTGTGAAATATAAGCCACATGTCTTCAACTTAAAAGAGAGTATAAGAAAACTCAGAATACTTCATTAATTAAAATCTCTTATATTATTTCTTGTTATGGAGTTCTTAATAACAATGAACTTTTCATTATGCCTCATTTGTTCAAAACAACCGTGTACATCATTTAAAACTTAACAACCGTAGTCTGCATGCACATAATACCAAATTGTTAGATTTGGTACCAAAACAAAATTACACTTTTGTTGCGTGGAGATACTTTGAAATATTGTCATGTAACATAAATACTTTGTCATTTATTCTGTCCATTTTACCACCATCTAGGTTTTCTTAATGTCTATGGTACCGGTACTTATGGTTTTGGTCTCATGTAGAATAATTTGGTTTTCCTCTGCAACGAAATACTGTAGAAGAAACCAAGAGTACTACTTCCTATCCTACAAAATTCATATAATTTATTCAGGTGCAATATCCAAAGTAATCATCTGAGAAAACCATACTATCTGAAATTTAACAGGAGCAACGTACATGACCATGTGATAGCTCAATCTTCAGCTTTCCATATTCTTATGTTTTGTATTTCCTGCCATCCAATAGGTCTTTGGTCAATTGGTTCTCATGTGGGGACCAAAATCAAACAACATATTATAGCGAAAAAGCTGGACAGTAATGAATCTTAAGTTCAAGATTTTGTGAATAGGAAGATATTATTAAATTTGCTTCCAAGTTCATCGACCAAATGTGAAGAACCTTTTCCTTCAGATATGCTACCACAACAGTGGTATCTCTGAGGGTGTGCATATAAGACTATCCTAGCCATATAAGTTTTACTAAATAATTTGTTTTAAAATTAATGAGCATATCAATGTTTCACACTGTGTGATGATAATTATTTTGCAACTGCTCCGTCCAAAATGGTCCTTGTGAACTTCCAACTTCCAAGTATCTTTATTTTATCAGAACAGAGCAACACACAGTCGATAATATGCAAAATACTTATAAAAACCTGACACGATTTAGCATTCTAGCAGGGAGAGGTGAGCACATAGCTTACCTGCATGGACCTAAAGCCGGTGGGCGCTTGCTGAAGGTTACATACAGTTTGAAATGATTGGTTCTTACTATTTGAACATTTTTTGGGTGATCTCGGTTAGACTAAATAATTCAAATAAATGATGGTATTTTCTCAGTTTGTTAAATTTAGATTTCACTTTGCAGGCCTGGCGCAGTGGTGAAGTCCTCCCCACTTGTGCCAAGAGGTCCTGGGTTCGAACCAGCCTCTCTGCATTGCACTTTGCAGGGGTAAGACTAGGTTCCTATAATCCCTCCCTAGACCCCACCTTGTGTGGGAGCTTCTATGCACTGGGTCTGTCCTTTGTTAAATTTAGATTTCAATACTACAAAAGTCAGAATCAGGATACTTTCTACATGGCTTTTCAGGTATTTTTCTACATGGCTTTGTTGTAATGTAGAATTCACCAAAAGCAGTTTACTTCTGTTTTGTACCGAGTTATTCTGCTGGTGAGGTAGAGCTTAGGGAGAGACAGGTAAGTGACCACTGACCTAGTATTGGAACATGCATATGTGGATGCTCTAATCTGGTGCTTTCTGTGAATAAGAAAAAGCAGTTGCTACCACATGGAACGGAACATTTGGGGAGTAATCAAAGAAGTAAAAATAATAAACAGACCATGGATGCTTCATCGCGATGAGAAAAAAAGAAGCAACACGCACTGACGCAGAGATGAACTTCAGTACATACATCAATACTCTTAGAGTTCACAATGGGCAGGTGACTCGTGGTGTTTCTCTGCCAAATGATTCGTTCTTGTGAAATTCGAAAATTCTAAGAAGCTTTGATGTCGCATTTATATATCCTGGTTGTATAAAGAGTCCTTACTCCTTAGTAGCCTGGTAGTTAAAAAATCATATGGAATTAACTGCCATCTCTTTGGTAGGTAATCAAATTTTGATAGTGAGAACAATTATATGCTCAAAATTTGTAGACCTTCACATTTATACACTGTATGTTGCAATCCAAAAAAGATTATTACTGCAGTAGTAGTTTATTCACTCAAGTATGAGCTGCTCAATTATCTCGAATTATAAATTGTAATCGGACTTCCCCAAAGACAGGGCATCCACGTGCTAGGAAGAAGCCCTTCACCGCTCTGACAGGAGGGAGCTTATTAGCAACCGGTTATTATGCACTACATGCTATGGCTTCTCTATTCTTAATATAGTGACATGAAAAAAGAAATGGATTGCAGAGGGTACACTGCGATCTGTTCATATATTATCACAAAATCTGAATGTAGACATTATAGTCTCACGTACATCAGTTCTAGGAGGAGATGGCACCCAGTTTTTTTAGGGAGGAGAGAGGCCAACATCACACTACCGGAATAATTGGCTACCCCGACGGCCTATTCTATGCCGACGGCCTTTTGTCGGGGCCGTCGGTATAGACGGAGCTATGCCGACGGCCTAGGGAAAGCCGTAGGCATAGAAAGGCCGTCGGCATACCTCGGACTATGCCGACGGCAGCCGTAGGCATAGAAAGGCCGACTCATTTTCTTCTTTCTCTTTTTTATATCGTTTGTCGTACGTGGGATAGAGAGATGAAGGGGATAAGCACTCAAGTACGTCAATTCTAGGAGGAAATATAGG